TGTCTTCCTGGTGATCACATGGCAACTCCTGTCTCTACTACATTTTCCAGAATCCTCCTTGACTCCTAGTCCCACCTAACTTGCTCCCCTATTGGCAAACAGTACTTTAGTCAACAACCAATAAGATAAACAAACACAGAAGGACCTCCCCCATTACCTCCTCTTTTCTGTCTAAATAAAAAGAACGGTTTACCATTAACATAGTAAAATACATAACAAAATATTTGTCAAGTTAGAACTATAGGTACTCTATTTAGTTCATCAACATTTAGCAAGATTTAAAGAAAATATTCTATCATCTATCCTATCTTTGTGAGTCTAAGGTCTTAGATGTAGCTCAACATTTATAATAACTAAAGAAAACTATAACCATAACTATCTGTTTCAACTTCATCACAGACCACAAAAGTGTAATATATAAACTCTAGATCTGACAGAGACATCTCACTACCTGGAGAGTCACCCAAAGTTTCTCTGTAACGTTGGGGCATCCAGCTTCAGCCCATAGACCACAGTGTGTCTAGCAGACTTCTCCATGAAGCAGGAATCCTTCAGTACTGTCTTGTTTTGCAAATTCAGGAGTCACTTTCCAGTGGGTCCTGCATGTACAGTTTATACAGCAACAAACAGTCCAGGCAAGAGCAGTTTCTAGCCCAAATGGCTAATCTTGCTATGTTGAAAGCAAACTATATTGAGTTTCTTCAATGCCCATCCTCCTTTCTGATGTAATTGGTGTGCCAGGAGCAGTTGTGTCTTATTGTCAAGAAAAACCATAAACCATTTAAATTCCATATATTCTGTAGCTCTTTGAAAGCATTGAAGAATATCTATCAATCTCAGATACATCTCTGTATATCTAGAAAACCTAACTAACCTAATTATAAGTTCTGACTATTATAGGTGACTATATAATCTGTATTTAATTAATTTTAAAGTTTGTCATTTCTTTCTTGAATTCTGTCCTCCATGATTTATATTCAGTAATGAATTGTTAGCTTCTGTGTGTTTGCATATTTTTTGCTATTATTATTTTTGATGATATCCAGGTTTACTCCAAGGTTTTCATAGCTGGGTGCTATTTTACTTTTCTTATATCTGTTGATCCTTGTTTTGTATCTTAATATGTAGTCAATTTGGGATAAAGTGAGCTGGTGAGAAGAAAGTTTTTTGTTTAGTACTAGGATAGAATGTACTGTAGAGCTTTGCTAAGTCCTTTTAATTTATCACATTAGTTAATGCCAGAAATTTTCTTTTCAGTTATTGTCTGATCTATTGGTGAGAGTAGGGCATGGAAGACACCAAACCTCACTCTGTTAGAGTCAATATGTGATTTTAGCTGTATTAGTGTTTCTCTCATGAACTTTATGACCTTGTGTTGGTGCACAAATATTTAGATTTGTAGTATCCTCTTGGTGCATTTTTCCTTTAATGAGTGTGTAATATCCTTCCCTGTCTCTTCTGATTTGTTTTGGTTTGACGTGTTTATCCGTTTGTATATTTTAAAATGTATTTGTTTAGTAATCAGAAAGATGTTAGGCCAAATATACAGGTAATATTAAAAGGCTACTTATGGACCTAAATAGAGACCAGCTCTCTAAAATCACATAAGTTATACTTACTCAACTTTGTATAATCTTTAACACAGTTTTGATGGGGAATGTACTGTGTATGTTTATCTTATTGATTGTTAAATAAAATACTGTTTGGCCAAAGAGACAGCAAGTTAGACAGGACTAGGAGTCAAAGGTGATTCTGGGAAATGTAGTAGAGAAGTGGTGATCCAGGCAAGAAGTGACATAGCAAGGAGACTCATATTTAAACAAGGAGAAACAGGAAGTGGCCACTTTTTCCCTTTGCCTCCTCCAATGGCAGGATGTGATCTACCGGCAAGGGAGGACGTCAACAAGGTGTCTGATAAGATAAGGCTTATAAAATATATAGATTTATGACAATTAAGACTGAGCTAACAGATGAGGAATCCTAGTCATTGGCCAAGCAGCTTTGTACCTGATACAAGTCTCTTGGTGTATTTATTTGGGCCCTAACTCAGGCAGGCAGCTGGAGTAAAGTTCACACGTGGCGGTGGGGCTCAGGCGGCTTTTGGCAGAAAGATTTATCATAACACAGTTTCAACCTGATTTATGTTATAGTTAATATTTTTGCTTTCTTGATATTTATTCTTTTTGTGCATATCTATCCTATTCATTTCCCCCCTCTTCATATCCAATTTCTGTCCTTGTGATCTCCAAAAAAGTTAGAGTAAAATTTTTTAAAACAACAAAAAGTAAAGAAAAAAAGATAAAAAAATCTCATCATAGAAGTGAATCACACAATAAACACTTTTGTCCATATATTTTTATTTGCAAGTGTTCAGTGCAAAGAGACATTAGTTCTAGGCCTCTGGTTTCTGCTAAAGTACTGATGCTGATGATGAGACTCCTTTTAGATATCCTGTGGTTGCCCTGTGTTGTGAAGATCCTGAAGATTTGCATCTTTTGGATCAGCCCCTTCATATGTTCCTGCATGTCATAGATGGATGGATGTTGGGATGGGCCAGTTGATAACCCTGGTTCTGGGCCTAGGTAGTTGCAGGGTTTGTCATCCTACCTGCTCTCCCCATTCCTCTCAACCAGGGTGACCCCTCTAGCATTGCCCCAGCTAGTTCTCCTTTCAGCAATGAGCAAGGGCTATTCTGTTTTCAAAACCTCAGGGTGAGCTATCCAACACCTGGTCTGTTATGATATGTCTTTCTGCAAAAGCCACCCGAGCCCTGCCACCATGTGGGAACTTTCCGCCATGCCACCCAAGTTCTACCCACAGCGACGTTAAGGTTGCACATAACAAAGAGAGACTTATATTAGGTACAAATGCTGCTGGCCAATTGACTAGGATTTCTTATATGCTAGCTCAGTCTTAAGTATCAACTATTAAGACTTATTGGATGCCAGCTGCAGGCGTCTTCTCTTGCCGGGATCACATGTTGGCTCTGTAGAGAAGAGAACAGGAGAAAGAGCAAAGAGGAAGAGAAAAGGGCAACTTCCTGTTTGTCCCTGCTTATATATGAGTCTTCCTGCTATGTCACTTCCTGCCTGTATCACAAGACTTCCTTTTACTACATTTCCCAGAATCCTCCTTGACTCCTAGTCCTGCCTAACTTGCTTCTTCATTGGCCAACAGTACTTTATTTATCAACCAATAAGACAAACATATACACAGAAGGACCTCCCCCATGACTGGTCCATCAAGGTCAACTCTACTATGTTGCCCTGATGAGTTGTAGTAACCACTCTCCAAGGTACAACAGCTAGTGAGGGAAGAGACAGCTTTCCCACTCTTATGACCTCAGGACCAGCTCTCCCTACTGCCACAACTGCGAGGGTCAGGGTAGGGCACAAGACATTTCACCTCCCCACATCATCAAATGGCAGATGAGAGGTGGAGCCAGATCTGTCATGCTTGTGTTCTTGGTACAGGCTTACCCATTTCTCTCTCCCTACCCCTTCACTCCTTCACTCCCTACCCCAGTCAAAGGAGCAGGTTTGCTGTGCTACCCAGACAAACTGCAGGGCTTACTTTCTAAAGTGTTGGGGGTGATAAAGAGGAGGGTCAGCTCCCTTGCCAGCTGGATGTGTTGTGGGCAAGGAGGGAGGGCATCTATTCCTTGCTTCTATCACCACACTGCAGATGAGGGAGGCAGTACCAGCTATTCCCCTCTCATGCCCTCAGGGATGGCTCACCCATGCTCCTCTCTTCTCTACTGTGCTGTTAGGTGAGGCAAACTGGGCATGTTCTCCAGAGTGCTGCAGCTTATAAGGGGTTTGGTCAGGTCTACCTGCTGCAGGTGGAGGGGTGAGAGGAAAAGGACCCCATTCCCTCACCTCACCCATGCTACCACATGACATTAGAGAGGGGTATGATCTGCTCTCCTCACACCCTCAGGGCTAGCTCACTCATGCCCTTTCACCCAGGTTCAGCTGTATTATGCTCCCCAGATGGGATGTAGGATCCTCTCTCCTCAGTGTTTCAGTTTGTGAGGAGATGAACCAGTTTACTCTAGTGTTATGGCCAGTGAGACATGTGGGACCACTTATTTACAGCCCTATCCTCTCTGCTTTGATGTTATCAGGAACCATGGCCATCAACAGAGACCATGGCTTTATTAGAATCATGAACCCAGACATAGACCTCAGCGGCATCAGAGGCCCAGAAATCACCCTAGTCATGGGTGACAATGAATCCACCACTTAAGTCTATTCGTCACCTCTTCTGACTCATCATATATGCCTTTATCCATAGGACATGAACAAGTCTGTCTCTTTCTTTCTCCTATATGACACCACTATATGCTCACCATAACAGTGCCCTATCTGCCTGGTGGTGCAAGGTCCTGGGTGCTCCTTTGTTTTCTCCTTGGCATATGGGAAAACTGCCCCAGGCCTTCCTTTGGGTTTCCTTGTCCCACACAGTCTCTTATGGCTCTGAGAGGAACTATGCTTCCTCATCACAAAGAGCCTATAATAGTGCCTCTGGAGCCAGGCAAGCTTCTGGTAGGTGCCGAAGTATTGCTGGAGTCCTCTTGAATACCACAGCTACAAAGCCCTATTTTTAAAACTTTTATTCTGGTCATTTTACTTGGCACAATCTGTGAACACTGGTTTCCTCAGTTCCTTATGCACTTTTTGTAGTGCCTTAAAGTTTTCAATAAGATTTTCTATCTCCTTAGGTGCAGCTCATTCCTAGGTATTTTTATCAGTTCTTTGAGAGTTTTGCACAACAGTCTCAATTGAAAGCACAGAGAAATAACCAATATGATCTCTAATTTGATAGGAAAAATCACTCATACAACATTTTGCAAAGACAATATCAGAAGAAATATACTGGACTTCTGTCATAGCTCAGGAGCAGTGAGTGCACACCTGAAGTACTGTTAATGAAAGATAAATGAAGGGAGGTATTAGTAGGACCCCCTGGTAAGCTAAAACTATCTGTGCATCTTGCAGGTGATGGTGAAGATAAAGTGAGAACATGGATTACATCCCTCTTTCCTTTCTATGGTCAAATCTGAAGCAAAAACAGCTAAAACCCAGGTACAAGTAAGACCTATTGTAAATATGACTGTATATATTTCAATTCAGGGTTCTTTGAAACTTTGTAGATCTGCAAGTCAGACTTGACCTGCAATAATTTTTTTGGAATCAAAGATTTATCAGCCTCTTGCTGATTCACAGCATCAAAATTCAGTTTCACCTATCACCTTGAAGTCAGTCTTCCAACAACCACAGGCACTAGTAGCATTTTCTTCCTATCATTGATTTTTCAAACTGAAAGCAGAACCTTTTTGACTGGCATATGCTATTGTACCTTGCTGCAGTTCTCCTTAGCCCCCTCCATTACCCTGTTATGCTCCTCAAATGACTAATTACCTTCTAGACACTGCTATGACATCTAATAAAAGGATTTTGCCATCTCAGAATGCCATGGTTCTTCAACAGCTACATATTTTTTCACTGTTATGTCAGTTTTTACATTTTTCACTCTACTACTTGTTGTCTCTACTACTTGAATGTTCATTTTTCTCTTTTATGCTTTAGTAGTATTTTAGCTGAATTTATCTCAGAATTAGAATTCAATCAATGTGACACATTGAGACAAATTTTGGTGTTGTCTTTGCAAATGCACTTCAATTCAGGTTGAACAAGAATGCTGTGTATGGTTAAACTATAATAAAGAGGTTTGGTGTGTGTGTGTGTGTGTGTGTGTGTGTGTGTGTGTGTGTGTCACAAATGAGCAGAATGTACGAAATCATAAAACAATAAAGTAAAAACAAATATTGATAATGGAGCTTTGAACTATCAGGATATGCTGTCTTCTTAATGCCCCAATGTCAGCATATTTATTACTGTTTGTCTGATTTTTTTATATTTTTTTTTGTGGAGTATCTCAGCCTGTGTGTGTGTGTGTGTGTGTGTGTGTGTGTGTGTGTGTGTGTGTGTGTGTGTTTAAACAAGAGTTTTACATATAAATCCCATCCCTTCATCATTCTCCACCTTGCTTTTTTAGATATTGTCTCACATTAATCCTGGAGTTTAACAGTTGGCTGGAATGACCAGTGAGAGTTCTACATACTCCTGCATCTACTCCCCCAGTACTGGGATTATATGCTTGTACCACCATCTTTGGATTTTTGTAGGTTATCTCAAAGTTTTTTTATGATTTTATTCTTTATAATGTATTTTGCTCATGTTC